GCTCTCGATTTCAGCTCAGGTCATGATCTCATGGTTCATGGGCTTGAGCCCTGCATCAGGCTCCATACTGACAGTGCAGAGCCTACTTGGGATTCTCTTTCTCTCCGTCTCCACCCCTCCCTTACTCACGCATGCTCTCTCTCTCAAAAACAAATGGATGAACTGTAAAGAGAGAGAGAGAGAGAGACTCATTAGGAGGTGGTTTCAGTAAACAAGATGTGGGTGGGGACACCTGGCTGGTCAGTCAGAGGAGCGTGTGGCTCTTAATCTCAGGGTTGTGAGTTTGAACCCACATTGGGTGTAGGATTACTTAAAAATAAAATTAAAAAATTTTTTTAAAAAGTCAGCAGGATGTGTCCTGGTGATGGTCTCAATAACTGCAGCTAATATTTCAAGCCCATTATCTCACTTAAATCTTTGCAACTCTAGGAGGTAGATATAATTACCCCCATTTATGGATGGGAAATCCAAGGAACAGAAAATTAATGAACTTGCCTAAGGTTGCATGGTAAGTGGTGAGAAAGCAAGTAGAAAGAGCAAGGTTGGTCATGACTGGATGACTGTTCAACTAATATTTATTGTTTTGGGGAAGGGGCTGAAAGGAACAGGAGCTGTTGAGTGTGATATCCAAGTTTCCAGCTTGGGTAACTAGGCAATAGCTGAGTTAAATACAGGAGAAAGCAGCTGGGGGGGGGTGGGGTGGAAGAAAGCGGTAAGGTCAGTTTGGGGTTGATTTTAAGGTGCCTGGTAATTTCCAAACGGGGATGTCCATAAATCAGCTAGGCACAGGGGCTGTTGTGAAATTCAGAGTGGGATTTTGAGGTCATCAGCCTCGGTCTCTCCCTGAAGGAAAAACAAAACCACCTTTGGAGAAGCTGAAAATGATAAAAACTTTGAACACAAAGCATTTAGGAAAACATTAAAAAAGGAGATTAGCTTGAGGCGCCTGAGTGGCTCAGTCGGAAGAGCATGCGACTCTTGATCTTGGGATTGAAGTTTGAGCCCCATGTTAGGTGTAGAGATTACCTAAAAATAAAATCTTGGGGTGCCTGGGTGGTTCAGTTGGTTGAGCGTCCGACTTCAGCTCAAGTCATGATCTCACAGTCCATGAGTTCGAGCCCTGCGTCGGGCTCTGCTGACAGCTCAGGGCCTGGAGCCTGCTTCAGATTCTGTGTCTCCCTCTCACTCTGCCCCTCCCCTGCTCGTCTCTGTCTCTTTGTCTCTCCCCCTCTCCCCGCCTCTCAAAAGTAAATAAACATTAAAAATTAAAAAAAAAAACATGGAAAACTCATTAAAAAATAAATAAAATATTTAAAAAATGGGATTAACTATGAAACAATTTTAGGGCACGACAAGGTAATTTTCTTCTATTAGTTTTCCTCCTCAGCTGTGTTTCACTAATGCCCTTTTATCTTGAAGTCTCCTACAGATACACAGGGCCCAGGCTACGCCACTAGAGACGGGTATCTAACCAATGCTTCAAAAAGTCCATTCCTCCCAGGGCATAGGAACTCCTTTTCAAACAATACTAACTTTTGAAACAGTAGGGAACCACTTAACAAATTATCATTTCAGTGCATTCATTGGTGTCCTAACGGCCTGGAAGCAAAGCCCTAACCTGGCCTTTTAGAGAACAGCTCACACAGAAGGAAATCTGCTTCCATTATAATAATGGCAAAATATTAACATATCAAATACCCTTAGAGGGGGGCTCCAGGTGAGCCAGCATTTTCCTTTAACGTTTCCTCCCAGAAATAAAAATTGTTGAACATGTAGCACGGAAAAAGAGAGCTTTAAACGATGTTTTAATAAAATCTCTTTTCTTTCCAAGTCTTGGGTATAGGTTTAGTTGAAGTTTTTCTTTCAACTTTGTAGTTTTCCCCAATTTAAAGCACTTCGACTCCCTACCTCTGCCTAGACTGGCCCGCCATTTAAAGAAAGGTTTCATAAGAGAAAATTACTTGTAAGTAATTTGAAAATTGTGGCCACACCTTAGTAATACATAATCACTGCCTTAGGCAAACTGTGTCATGAATAGAGAGCCTTTGACTATTTCTAAGAGGGATCTGTTCTGGGATTCCAATACTAGTTCAGAAGAAATTGTTTTAGTGTTCTTAACAGATATCCAAAAATATCTCCTTAAAGCAACAAGGCCTCCTTTCATTTTTGCTTTTGGATGTGTTTGTGTTTCACCTTCTCCAAAGTTAACGAGACACTCATACCAAATACTTCCACGCTGCTTTGCCTCCAACCCAATCTTCACAGGAAACTCTCCAGATTTTTGCATCTTCCTACAATAATGGCAATATCCAGAGGGCCCACCAGTGTGTGAAATAACGTGCGCCCAAATTTCTACCAGAACATGTGTACAAATGCATCAATGTAAAGACAATTGTGTCCACTCTTAGTGAATCTGACAAGAAACCAGTTTATGAATCGGTGCTGGGTTACTAAAAAAATTCTCAGCTTTTTGATTTTTAAAAAGTATACTTTTAATTATAGAATATTGTTAGAATACAGATGTAGATAGACACTAGCATAACTGCGACCAATACCCTACGAAAAACTGCTCTACATACTTACTTGTTCACTCACTCTCCACAACCATAGAAAACAGGCACAAAGTGTTCAGGGTATGTGCAGAAGCGGCCAGAGACTTGGGAGCAGGAAACATGCAGAAAGCATTAGCAAAGAGAGTCTGATGCAGAAGTTCTACACAAAAGTTCAACACAGCAAATGGGCAGCAGTTGGCAGAAAGACAGGAGACAGCTGGTCTGGCCCTTGCCCTTTGAACTTCCCAGCTGGAGTGTACATGTATGGAGAGATGGCTGGGGCACCAAGAAGCCTCTTCTTGAGCCACTCACCTCTAAGAAGCCAAAAGCAGCAGCAGGAACAGGTTGGGATGGGGCAGGAGAGTAGGGAAGAAAGAGGGAGTGAAATACCCTTGGGTCATGAGGATGCTGTCTTCTGTGGCCACTCCAAAGCTGATGCCCAGAGTGCCTCACAGAAACAACAGGAGAACTCTGATATTTGTTAAAACCATTAGCAACACTGATACAGGAAAGGACATATTCGAGTTCAGTCATCAAGAACATGTGAGTCATTCAACAATTAAAATATGGATACCCACGATCGGCTAGATTTTGTACAGGACACAAAACATGCTCCCTGCCCGAGTTGAGTTTGTATTTAAACAGGAGTGGCAACATGAAGAAACCTCCTTGATGGAGTGGTGTTTCATTTTGTTCCTTTCAAGGTTGTGTCCCTGCAAAGGATGCAGTCCCACACAGTTGTGGCTCCTAATGACTCGACGTAGTATACTACCCGAGAGAGACCACTGGCTCCTTTAACACACCAAGTCCCAAAGAGCTATGGCGAAATATTTTTCAAATGTTACAGCATTCACAATAAAGCACAGTAGAAATAGCTTGGGGCACTCTCGAAAAAGATCTATTCCTTAGTCCACTCCCCCTCACACTTCCACCCCCAAATGCCTGGATAAGCACCAATGCCTGGGGTATTTCTTAACTCCTATGTGGGCTGAGATTAGGAGAACTGACGCTAACAGGTTTAATTTGGGTCAACTTTCATCTTAACCACATGTATCTGTAGACTGACAGGATAGAAACACATTCCTATCTGGGTTTATTCATTCTTTGTGAGTAGGCCAAAGAGAAGAGTATTCAGTCTGAGAACAGGACACTCAACCTATCTGTCCAGTTATTATCTCCCACAATTGACTGATACACATAAACAAGTGCTTAGTTCTGTACAAAGACAGATCTTAAAGGAGCGTGCACACTAGAGCACTAGTGTTTAACATTTTTCCTTTATAAAAAAAAAAAAGAAAATGAAAGGACATTTCTCACACTGGAGTTGTCTGTAGTTCTGTCACATGATCAACATCACCCAGGAACATGCTAATTCTGTGTGAATTCAGTTTCCGCTACTGGAAAAATTACAGGAATACATGTTTTACTGTACATACACATGCCCTTATGCAAGCCAAGAGAAACACTGGGATGTGGCCCTTATCAAATCCTAGAGTTAGTAGTAGAATTGATCTCTCAAGGCAGAAGGGGAAGAACACAGAAAGGAATGGTGGTGGTCCTTGGGGAGGAACTCTGTGTTTCCTTCCCGGGAGTGGCCAATTCCACTTGCTCCTTACACTCCACCACCAGTACGGTCCTATCTTTCCTTGAAGATACCCTCCCTACATTGTCCCCTACAGTGATCCCCCAAAGAAAAGGAATACATTTTGATTAGTGGCAATAACAACAGTAACCAGCTCTTGCTAAAGTCACCACCATTGATGAGTCCTTGGTCCCCAAACCTGTGTCTCATGTTTCCTTTTAATCTGCATCTGTAGTTAGCTTTTGCAAAGATGCAAGCTTGAGTAAAGGTAATTAGGAACAATGAGGGAAACAGTTATGATCATTGCCTTCATCGTGCAGAATCCTGCTCTCAGGAAGATGGAAAGATACAAATGCATACGCAACTCAAGGAAAACGCCTTTCAAAGGGGAAGATGTGCGTGCCCAACAATTACGGAGAGTGAACAGGTGTGGCAATTCAGGCAGTCTCTGGTTGTCTTTTTCCGAAGCAGCTGTGACCACCCTATTACAGTCCAACATTTCCCCTAGCATAGTTCTTTGGGCCACGGATGAGAGAGAGAACTTTTAAAGATTTACTCCATTTCCAATCCTGAGGCTTTACCAGCATGCATCCCCTGGTCTTCAGATTCCCAGTTACTTGTGGAGCTGATTCTGATGAAGTACTTCATTAATATTCAGTGAATAAAAAAAAAATCACTCCTTGGGAGAAGGGGGGAACGTTCCCAAAGTTGTGGGTCAGAATTTCAAATGGCTTATCTTCTTTGATGTTTCAAACGATGGCCGGCAAGGAACTTCACTATGGTAAAAGCAGCTCCGTCTTGAGAGAGCTCTTTGCTATCAAATAAAATTGTACCTTCAAGTGAATCATTTCTTATAATTACAGGACTTAGTCAGTATGTACCCTCTTATGTTTAATAAGTGCCGAGCTCCGGCTGAAACTCTTCTCGCACTCAGTACATTCGTAAGGCTTCTCTCCCGTATGAACTCTTTGATGGGTGATGAGGTTGGAGCTCTGAGTGAAACCTTTTCCACACTGTACACACTCATAGGGCTTCTCTCCGGTGTGGGTTCTCTGGTGTTTAATGAGATCTGACCTTTCTCCGAAGCTTCGCCAACACTCATTGCACTCGTAGGGCTTCTCTCCGGTGTGAATTTTCTGGTGTGTGATGAGATGAGAGCTCCGGCTGAAGCTTTTCCCACAAGCGTTACATTCGTACGGCTTTTCCCCTGTGTGCGTTCTCTGGTGCTGAACCAAGTGCGAGATGCGGCTGAAATTCTCCCCACATTCGTTACAGTGGTACGGCTTTTCTCCCGTGTGGGCTCTGCGATGGCGCACCAGGTCGGAGTTCTGACTGAAATTCTTCCCACACTCATCACACTTGTAGGGCCTCTCCCCCGTGTGCACCCGATAGTGTTTGATGAGATCAGATCTCTCACTGAAGCCTCGCCCACATTCATTACACTCGTAAGGCTTCTCACCTGTGTGGGTCCTCTGGTGCTGAGCTAGGTGAGAGCTCCGGCTGAAGCTTTTCCCACACTCCTCACACTCATAGGGCTTTTCCCCACTATGGGTCCTTTGGTGCTGGATGAGGTGAGACAGCCGGCAGAAACTTTTCCCACACTCGTTACATTTGTGGGGTTTTTCTCCAGTGTGGATTGTCTGGTGCTGAATGAGGTGAGAGCTTCTTCCAAAACTTTTCCCACACTCATTACAGTCATAAGGCCTTTCCCCGGTGTGTGTTCTTTGATGCTGAATAAGGTGTGAGCTCCGACTGAAGCCCTTTCCACATTCGTAGCACTTATAGGGTCTGTCTCCAGTGTGGGTTTTCTGATGTCGATTAAGGTCTGAGATCTGACTGAAGGCCTTTCCACAATGAGAACATATATGATACCGGATGCCCGTGTGGACTTCTTTGTGAACGAGCAGGTCAGTGACTTGTTGAAGAGGATAGCTTACCCACTCTTCTGCTGTTAAATCTCCCCACTGTCTTTCGGGTCTCTCCCTGCTTTCAAAGGCTTCTTCATTTTCAGGATTTTCCTCAGTGTTCCCCACAGGTCTTTCAGATGCAGTGCCAAATTCCACATCTTCACTAATCTCTTGCTTTGGATTCACTTCATTCTCACTCCTGATCTCAAAATCTGTAATAAAGGGTAAATAATAATAATAATCCCGGCAAATACACAAAATTTGTCTCCTGTGTACCAGGCATTGTGCTAAGTTCTTTCCCCAAATTACTTCAATCACCCTGAGAGTCAGGCATTATGATTTCTACCCTATGGATAGTAAATTCTAGACCCCGAGAAGTGACTTGCAAAAAGTTCACAGAGTAGTAAGTGGTGGGACTAAGATTCAAATCCAGGTTTGTCTGATAACAGTTCATGCTCTGAACCATTACCGTTAATGGTTCTTTATGAAAATTGTATATGCTCCTGGTGTTTTCAAAGAACCAGAACAGAAAACATAAAAGACTGTATATTAGAATGCCTAGAAGCCAAGAACCTAGATGTTTTACATGTGATCGCATTGTGTGTACGTTCTTAAACTTTCCAAACCTTCATCATTATCATTAGATGATATTTACTATGAATCTACTGGGTTAGGATGGAAAAAACATTTTTGTCTAGCTATATCAAGTCTTAGTTGACAGGAAAAGTGACTGCCAAATGTTACTTGCTTCCTTCCAGTGGCCTTTAAAAATTTTTTTTTAATTTTTATTTATTTTTGACAGAGAGAGAGAGACAGACAGACAGAGCATGAGAGGGGGAGGGGCACAGAGAGAGAGAGACAGAATCCGAAGCCGGCTCCAGGCTCTGAGCTGTCAGCACAGAGCCCAACGCGGGGTTCGAACTCACAGACCAAGAGATCATGACCTGAGCCAAAGTTTGACGCTCAACCGACTGAGCCACCCAGGCACCCCAAGCGGCCTTTAAATGTGAATAGAGGAGGGAAGGTTGGAGAATGCACAAATGATGCCTGGCTCAGAACATCCCTGACATTACCTAAACACAGCCTTCAAATGAAAATGAAAAAGAAAATATACAACCACTATCTATAAGCAACTTTCTACCAGACACTGTTTTTCCAAGTTGTGTTACTTAGCACACTCATCAACCTAGAGGTTACTATGTATGCTGGGAGAAAAGGGTCTATGGATAAACTACTTTGGTAAATGGTGCATTCAACATCTCTTCTTAGAAATGGGCACGCCATTTAACACATTAAAGGTTCTGAAGAGTCCTGAGGTTAAGAAGCCTTGTAAATTTTAATTATTTACTAAATTTTTTTTAAATTTTTCAGAGAGAGAGAAAAAGAGGGCACATACATGAGTGGGCAAGGAGCAGAGAGAGAGGGAGACAGAGGATCTGAAGCAGACTCTGTGCTGTCAGCAGACAGACTGATGTGGGGCTCAAACTAGGGAACCATGAGATCATGAGCTGAACCGAAGCTGGACACTCAACTGACTGAGCCACCCAGGTGCCCTGTAGATATTATTTACCAATAATACTGGTATTTACCAGTATCAAACTTATTTGAGAAAAGAACTTATTTTTCTGTGTGTATGTGTGTGTGTGTGTGTGTGTGTGTGTGTGTGTGTGTGTCCGTCCTTCCATGCTTCCGTCCTTCTAACAAGTACTCCTTGGGCTGGCAGAGCCATACAAATTCACATTTCTTTAAGACTCTCACTGCTTGCTTTTGTTGGATTGGGGTGAACATTTGGATGAGAGACTGCACTACATCTAGGTAAATAAATTTTAGTTGCTTTTCTAAAGGAAAGATCCAAGAATCTTGGAACATCAGGGAGAGCCCAAGGTAAAAAGGAAACCCCTCCTATTTGCCTTTTGTCCTGGAAAAGGCTATAGAAATAAAGATTTCAAAATAAGAATTAGTCCTAATGAAGGGCAGATGACCTAGTGAACCATATATGATTGCTAAGTTCTATCAAGTCTTACTAGGAGGCAAAGTGAGTCAAAAGACTGTTCAGCTCAAGAATATACTGTTAATTCTAGTTACGCCCAGACCAAAAGATAGCTAAGAGAAGACAGGTTTACAAACCATCAAAACAATTACTTCTCTTCCTAATAGAATTTGTGATCTCGTTGAGTTCAGGATTTTTCTGGAACATTTGACACACTCAAAATTTACGATCAACTCTGAAACATCTCTAGACAGGTACCTGCTCCAGATAAATAAAGGAGCTCTGGCAAAGCTAAGGCTCTGAAGACAAAACAAACACAAAGACGTGGCTTTTGCCCTCCCATGAACCTGAGTCAGAACCCTCCTCATCTTCTAGTAAAACGACCATTTACGTGGGCATTTATATCCTGGCAAGCACCATTATGTCAGACCTGTTTGGTCAGTGATCTGTACAAACAGGCTGGAGAATGGTAGATGACTCAGGGCACAAGAAATCTGAATGTTTCTAAAATGGGCAGAAACGGTCTTTCCTTTTAGACAACATGACCTTGATGTTCCCACACTCCAAGATCTGCCTGAGGACTCAACTCAAACCAATATCTGATTCAATGCTTTAAAAATCACACAACTTGGTTGTGTTGAAAGAGCTAAGCCATTTTTGAGTCTCAAAAACGTGGGAGCGAAGAAAGGCAGAGAATCCTTACTTACCTAGTGAGACAACGTTTCCGTAATTCTCCTGCATGACATCCCTGTAAAGGTCCCTCTGTGTAGGATCCAGAGGTCTCCATTCTTCCCGAGTGAGGTACATGGCCATATCTTCAAATGTCACAGGTGCCTGAAATCACACAATGCTTCCTCATTACTGGGTATCCAGAAGGTTAATACTAATTCCTCCTTTTGAAATTAGAGACATGGCTAGAACTGTTGCGAAGGCAAAAGGTATCAAGTCTGATCTGAAGAGTCCAAAGAAGAAATAAACAGGCAAAAAAAAAAAAAAAAAAAAAAAAAAGAGAGATGTGGGAGAAAAGGGATCCATTTACCAGCTGACTGCTCTGGTCCCATGGCCAGATAGTCCTGTCCACTCCAGAACTTTATCTTCTAGCGGTACTTTTCTCAGAACACACGTAGCACCTACATCCCTACATACCTTTTACTCGCTGTCCCTCTATTCCTGTAGTATGTCTCAGACTAGTGAAAATTTACAATTCTTTAAGGCCCTGTTCCAGTACAGACAGTTCTTCAGTGTCCCCTGGCCCCCTGCTCCGCTCCACTCCTCCCTTAGGCTCCTTAGAATTAATCACCCCAACTTCTTGGTTCCCACACCACAGCACTTTGTTTCTACGACAAATAAAGCTGTTATCACGTTGTATCACAGTTCAACGAATGCGTCTGTCTCCCTACAGATTGTGAGCAGGCGGGGAGGGACCGTTCCATCCATCTTTTGCCTTCCTAGGATTTAAAGGCATACAGCAGGTGTTCAATAAATGCTTGTTCGTGGCTATACTGGCCTGGTACTGAGGTTTCTCGAGGCAGAATACCGAAGCGAGCGAATTACTAATCCCAGGGAATTTCCAACAGGGATTTGCACAGCGAAGAAACGCCGGGACAAGGTGGGTACGCAGAGGCAGGGTCCGAGAAGCCACCCCCGGCTTACCTGGGACCCAGCCATGAGCAGGGTGGCTGCCATCTCGGGCTCAAGGATTCGCCTCCCAGAAGAGAGAGCAGGAAAAGCAGCTAGCAGACAGCGCTAAAGGAGGCGAAAAGCAGGGCGTGAGGCACAGAAGATAGGCCCTGCCCACTCCCCAGGGCTGGAGTTCTGGCCGCCAGGCGGGTGGGGAGGGCCCGGGAGCCGGGCCGGGTCACTCTCCTTCCTGACCCTCGAGTGCGACCCGCCCTCTGTGTCTCCGCCACCGGAGGGTGGAGGCACTGCCGGAATTTACTAAGACAGCCCCCTAGCTCGGGCCCTCCGGGGCCGGGGGTCAAGTCGATGCTGTCTCGGGGAGGAGGCTCTCAGCCCAGCCCACAGAACGCCTCCGCTCTCCCATCTCGAGGCTGGCCCTTTCCGGCAGCTATCTCAGCCAATCAGCGAGCGAAGGTTGCAAAACGCTTTGCCAATTAGATGCTGAACACTAGGCCCGCCTCTTGTAGCGTGGCTGAGCACCTCGATCACGCCTGCGCCTGCTCCCGTGGCCTGTCGGGAGTTGGAGTTCCATTCCCGCGTACAAAGGCCAGTCAGAGGCCAAAAACCAAGGAGGGAAAAGAACAAAAGGGTGAAGAAGGAAGGGCGTCCTCCTAGCCAGGGAGGAGTATCTTCCGCTTTCGTCTCTTGGAGACCACGGCCCGATTAAGCCAGAGGGATTGCCCTGCATCTCCTCACGACCTTATGCTTGTCTTGAGTCAGGCCTTAACTTCGACGTCGGGCCCAATATAGGCGCTGGCTTGTGTTGAGTTCTGCTGGGATTAGCCCTAATTTGACAGCCGGGACCTGAGAGAAAAGCGGCAGCCGCCCACTCCCCAGGGGAGACTCGGCGGCCGCGCTGGAACTTTGAGCTCCGCCCACGCACTACGTCTCCCAGCAGTGCCTGCGGCACTCTCACCCGGCTACTCAGACTACAACTCCCAGGAGGCCCCGCGCCTCCAGTGCGCTGGCTAGTGGAGTCCGCGGCTCGGCCAGGCGGTGTCCCGGCCCTTTTGCTATTAACCCTGTACGGGCAGCCAACCTTGTCCTTCTAAAGAGGGCGCCGCTTGATGGGCGGGCTGAGCTGCGTCCAGCAGAGAAGAGAAAACCCGAGGGAAATCAAAAGCGAGGGTGGAGGATAGGGCGCATAAGAAGGAGCAAGTCAAGCCCCAGGGCTGAAAAAACCCGTCCTGATCATCCCTGGGGGCTTGTCTACTAAGAGGATTTCTGACGGTTTCCTGCACGGATGGGCTCTTGGGCCTCTGAGGGCCTGAGCTGGGCGGGCCCTCAGGATGCTAGTAGTCCCTGACCCGCTGAAGGTGGGAAACCGAAAAACCAAGCTGGGAAAGAACAGACTTACCGCCTGCCCCGAAGATCCACTAGATCGCCGGCTCCAAGATCTGAGAGGCCTCAAACAGATTCCAAATCCGCAGAGTTCTCTGAGACTTCGAGTGTTTGGAAGGATTCTAGAAATCACTGGCAGATCCCGGATATCTCAGACCCGCAGGTAGATCTCAAACCCGTAGACTTGCAGGCAAAGCCCAGAGATCGTAGGCGGATCCCAAAGACTCACAGACTCTCAAGCAGCTTAGGGAAACCACACACTCATAGGCAGATCCCTGAGACCACAGCAGCTAGCCAAGAAACACCAGCAGCGGCTAAGCTGCATTCAACTGGAGTTCTTCCGAACGGAAGGACTTGCAGCCTTTCCTTTCCCCAGCCAGGATGAGAAAATTAGACAATGGAAGCCGAACATTGGGGAAAGCAGGCATTCTGCGTGGGGAAGAGCTCTGAGCTCGCTGTAGCCTTGGAGAGGGAAGTGATGGAAAAAGAATATAGCAGCTTATTAGGGACTCCCACCCTCTTCAAGTTATAAATATCCCCAGAACCTTGGCTACGTGCCCAGAAGCCTGTTGTCTCTAACTTTACAGGAGATTTCTCTGCCTGGGCTGGGAAAGGGGCTTTTCTTTTGTTTTGCAGATACATCCACCCACTGAGTGACTTGAATTCTACCCCCCCCCAACATGACTCCAGGCTATGCTTTTATTAGTGAGTGTCCTGTTCCCAGTGCCCAGTTATTTATGGTTAAATTACTCAAGTGTCTAAAAAGAACTAGGACCCTACCCAGCCATGAGGCAGACTCCCACTCCCACTGCTCTTCCCATCCCCAGCTGTGAGGTTAGGAATTCTTTAGATAGCTCAGAATTGTACCATCCTACCCCATCTGAAATTTATTTGGGTACCACAAAAAAAAAAAAAAAAAGAAAGAAGAATTGTAGAGGATTCCCAAGAGACAATATCCATAGAGCGAAGAGGGTGGGCAGCGAGGTCAAATAGACCTGAGTTGGAATCCAGGCTGTCTATCCTCTAGATAGTCATTCAATCTCTCCAGGCCCATTTCCCTTTATGTAAAACAGGGCAATCATACCTAAGGCGGTGGTGGGCACTAAGTGAGATGGGGTAAAGCCCTCCACACAGAATGAACACTCAGATGGTAGCCGTTATTATTATTAATCCTGCCTTTGGTGGCAGGGGAGACTTCCAGAAAGGCCTTGTGGATATTTTCACCGGCTCAGAAAATCTGGGAAGTCAGACTGCTGGTGACCTTCACCCACATAGTGTTTCTGTCGGAAATCCAGAGGGAATTGGAAGTTGGGCCAGTTTGGTGGGTTCAAGCAAACTGGTGTATTGAGCCTATTAGAGCAGAGGTGTTTGAGGTTGCCAGAACCCGGCCAGTGGAGGCCTCGCTCGTGTTCTGGGAAGCTCCTGGGAGGACTTGGGCTGAGTAAACGCACATCTCTAACTGGGCCTAAGGTGAGTAGAGCGCCTGCGCCACTCAGCCCAGCAGGGCTCCCTTTTCAGCCCTTCTCTGACAGATTGCTTTGTAAACTTCCTTAGGCCTCTCTCCCCCTTGCTCCGGTGCTTTAAGTCCTTCTTTGTCCTCCCTCTGTTTCTTTTATTCCTCAGGCCTGCCTGGGGGCAGGACAACTTTCCTCTCCCAGCCCAGCTTGGCTGCTTGCCTCCTTCTGAGTGCTTTTCTCTCTCTTCACCTGGGACCCTCAAGAGGGTGGAGGAGAAGAGAGGCGAGAACAGAAGCTGCGTTTGGTGCCCTTGAGGAGGAAGGGTAGGAAAGACAGTGGGTGAGGGGTTTCCTGCTGCAGTCTTCAGCTGGACTCAGGTTGGGGTTACTGGAGAAGGAGGTGGCTTCCTGCCCCATTGTTCAGGACTTCATTGTTTCTCAGGAATACTTACTGTGCGTGAATTTTCAATAATTAACTTGCAAAGCTGTACGTGTGCCAATCATTCAGCAAACAGTGAGCACCTACTGCGTACAGAGGTGGCAGCACAGCCTATCAGCACAGAAAGGGGCCAGAAGAACCTTCTGGCCAGGGTCTCCAAATCAGGCTTTTGACACAATCTCCAAACGGGGTTTCACATTATGGCAGATCCACTGACCGGTTTGATCAAAGACCCTCCGTCTGTGTCCCTAAACTTGTTTCTCATTAACAGACCGCTAGGCCTGTGGTGCATTATAAATTATTATATTTCAATAAATCCTATCATTATCTTGTG